TGACGGAAATCAAGATTCACAACCGCCCTATTCACGAGCCCACTCCCGATAATCAAGTACAGATAATGCGGGAAAGCCATGGCGAACGCAAAGTGGAGCACGAGGACAGGGGCAGAGGGAGCGGGGGGAAAAACGATGGGGTCTGGATCCGTCCGGTCGCGGAGACCTGCGGCAGCTCGCATACCCCCCGCCCATGCGCTGCGGGCCCGCACGGGGTGAGCCTGGATTCAACTGTGGAGCTCCTGCGATGAGCGCAAGACCCATGCCAGGGGGGGTTACCAGCCTGGAACACATCCCTATCCCTCTGCTGGGCATCTCCTCATCACGATGCCGACCTCAGGGAGTCCCTCACTTTTCGAGGGCGCACCCCTAAGGTTGTCATCGCCTTTTGGCGTGTCAATCTTAGGGATAAGGATAAGTTCGAGGCTGCCAAAGGGGGGCGGCGCCGGCCGCGCCTCGAAACTGCATGCCCCGAGCTCCCCTGCACGTCGTTCGTGCAGTCGCCACCCGCGTGTCCATGCAGTGAGCTCGCGGGTGCTCGTCGCATGGGCGCGCACAGGCCCTCGAGGGTGTCGTGGGCGCTGGAAGAAACATATGGCGCGCTCAGCTGCGTGCGTAAGGAAATTCATGATCTCGGCATCTCCGTGCCTCGGGCCTCGGCCGCGCGGAGGCACTCCTCTCAGAGCTCCGCTCCGCGGCACGGGCCCCGGCCGTCTTTGTCCTGCAGGCCGCCGCCGCGCGAGCCAGGACCTTTGTGTCTTCCCGCTGCGCGCGCCCGCCCGCGGGCGGCCCCCGCAGGAGGAGGTCGACGGGGGACCACGCAACTTCTACATGTTCGGCGAGGAGACCACGCAACTTCTACATGTTCCACGCCCCTCACTGCGGAGTCGCAGTGAGGGGCGTGGAACGCGCTTCTATAAAATTCGGCGATGACGGGCGTCATGGGGGGCCAGGGGGCGGGGGGGGGGCACGACGCAACGCCCCCCGCCCCCGCCGCCGCGTGGCTCCGGCACCGCTGCCGCGCCCACGCGCACGACGACGATGAGCGATGAGCGACGAGCGACGAGCGACGAGCGACGAGCGACGAGGGACGGGCGACGGGCGACAGGCGACGAGCGACGAGGAAGATGAAAGGGGATAGGTAAAATGGTAGCGCTTCCGCGTGCACCACAGCGCCTGCGCGCAAGAGCCACGACCAAGGGCCACGAGCCACAACCAGTTCAGCACCATCCGCGTGCACCAGTGCCTGTGCGCACCACAGGGCCTGCATGCACCTCTGGGACCCTGGGGTCCCGACGGGACCACATGACAGAAAATCGTGGGGGCGGCCGATTTTATCGAACTCAAGATGTAAATTGATTACGATTATTCCCAAAACTCCGTGTTGGGTCCTCGTTTTGAGTTCGCGGCGCCGCGCGTCTCCTTCCCTCCCTCCTTCCTTTTTCCTCTTCCTCCTCCCCCTCCTCCTCCTCCTCCTTGCCCCTTCCTTGCCCTTCCTCCTTTTCCCAAGTCTCAGGTGCGTTGCAGGGAAGTCAACCGAAAACCCACGCAGCAGCGTCCGCACGGTTTCTCGGATCCATTCTGGCACACCCCTCACACGTTTCGTAACCTCACAGGGAGGTCCACCGAAGGCCTAAGTGGCAGCGTCCGCATGGTTTCCAGGATCCATTCTGGCACAACCCTCACACGTTTCATGGCCCCACAGGGAGGCCCACCGAAGGCCAAAGTGGCAGCGTCCGCATGGTTTCATGGAGGTCCACCGAAGGCCCAAGTGGCAGCGTCCGCATGGCTTCTCGGGTCCAGTCTGGCCCTTCGCACGGTTCGTGGCCCCACAGGGAGGTCCACCGAAGGCCCAAGTGGCAGCGTCCGCTTGGTTTCTCGGGTCCATCCTGGCACACCCCTCACACGTTTCGTGGCCCCACAGGGAGGTCCACCCACGGCCCAAATGGCATCGTCCGCATGGCTTCTCGGGTCCATTATGGCACACCCCTCCCACGTTTCGTGGTCGCACAAGGAGGCCCACCAAAGGCCCAAGTAGCAGCGTCCACATGGTTTCCCGGACCCATCCTGGCACACCCCTCACACGTTTCGTGGACCCACAGGGAGGTCCACCGAAAACCCAAATGGCAGCGTCCGCATGGTTTCCAGGATCCATTCCGGCACACATCTCAAACGCTTCGTGGCCCCACAGGGAGGTCCACCGAAGACCCAAGTGGCAGCGTCCGCACGGCTTCTCGGGCCCATTCGGACACACACACACACACACACACACACACACACACCTCACACGTTTCGTGGATCCACACTGCGAGTCCACCAGAGGCCCCAGTGGTATCGTCCGCATATTAGTCGGGCCCATTTTGTGACACCCCTCACACGCTTCGTGGCCCCACACTTCAAAACTGTCGCCGCGTTCATGTTGGTTTGGGGGGTTCGACGGGGCAGCGTGGCTGAATTGTGAGGTTGCCCATCGGGCCCTCTGATCACTTCCCACTCTTGACCACGAATGGGGTTCGTGTGCCCTTGTTGTTCGGTCTGTGCTACCGCTACCTCCCTGCGAGGTTGCCCATCGGGCCCTCATCGGTTCCACGCGCGTTGAATGGGTTGGGCTCTTCGCCAGGGTAGTTGTTTGTTCTTGCCCCGCGTGCGCCCCTGCACTTTGAGCCCATGACGCCCGTGAGCGCCCGCGAAAAGGAATGGCAAGGATTGGGGAGGAATGGGGAGGGCAGACAATGGTAGCGCTTCTGCTCGCACCACAGAGCGTGTGCGCACGAGTCACGACTAGGCCCAGCAGGCTGCCTCTGCCGCCTCTCGGCGCCGAGATGGCTTGACCCAAAATTATGATGCGAGGGGAGAGACGGAGGAGGAAGGGGGAGGGAGAGGAGATGGAAAGGAGAAAGAGGAGGAGGAAGAGGAGGAGGAGGAGAAGAGGGAGGAGGAGAAGGAGGAGGAATTTTCACTGGGAACACTAAATCACAACTTCGGATCCCTACGCGGATCCCAGCACGGGTCCCTATGCGAATCCCTGTGCCGATCCCCCAGGCGGATCCCTGCGCGGATCCCTCTGCGGATGCCTCTGCGGATCCCGATGCGGCTCCCGATGCGGATGCCCATGCGGATGCCCATGCGCATTGCCCTGCGAATCCCGATGCGAATCCCTGTGCAGATCCTCACGCGGATCCCTATGCGGATTCCTATGCAGATGCGCATGCGCATCCCCAGGATTTTCCCAATGCGGACCAGACTCCTATGCGGACACCTATGCGGATCCCGATGCGCACGGCGGCAGTGCCCAGAGCGCACTGGGGGGGGGGGAAGCGTTACGTCATCAGGGGGGCGGGGCCATGACGCCCGTCATGCCCCAGGCAATGAAAAAACACGCTCGTGCCATAATGGACCCGAGTAATCATGCGGACGCAGCCACTGGGGCCTTCGGTGGAGCTCCCCATGGGGCCACGAAACGTGTGAGGGGTGTGACAGAACGAATCCGAGAAATCATGCGGACGCAGCCGCTGGGGCCTCCGGTGAAGCTCCCTATGGTGCCACGAAGCGTGTGAGGGATGTGCCAGACTGGGCCCGAGTAATCATGCGGACGGAGCCACCGGGGCCTTCGGCAGAGCTCCCTGTGGGGCCACACAACGTGCGCGGGGTGTGCCAGACTGGGCCCGAGTAATTATGCGGACGCAGCCACTGGGGCCTTCGGTGGAAATCCCGATAGGGCCACGAAACGTCTGAGGGGTGTGCCAACATGGACCCGAGTAATCATACGGACGCAGCCATTCGGGCTTTCGGTGGAGCTCCCTATGGGGACAAGAAACATGTGAGGGGTGTGCCAACATGGACCCAAGTGGTCATGCGAACGCAGCAATAGGGCCCTTTGGTGGGCCTATCACTGGGGACAAGAAACGTGTGAGGGTGTGCCAACATGGACCCGAGCAATCATGCGGACGGAGCCATTGGCGCCTTTGGTGGAGCTCCCTATGGGACCACAAAGCGTGTGAGAGGTGTGCCAACATGGACCCGAGTAATCATGCGGACGCAGCCATTGAGGCTTCCGGTGAAGTTCCCGATGGGACCACGAAACGTCTGAGGGGTGTTCCAGAATGGACCCGAGAAACCATGCGGACGCTGCCACTTGGGCCTTCGGTGGACCTCCCTATGGCACAACAAATCGTGTGGATGGAGATCATGATGATGATGCCGACGCTTGTGCCGATGGTGATGATGATGATTATGATGATGATGATGATGATGATGATGATGATGATGATGATGATGATGACGATAAAGGCCGACATGATGCTTGTGGTGGTGGTGGTGGATGCGGAGATGAGATGAGAAAAGATGAGGATGATGCTGATAATGGTGATGGTGATGCTGGCGTTGAGGATGATGATGAGGAGGATGATGACGATGGTGATTGTGATGGTGATGATGTTGATGATGATAATGATGATAATGGTGATGATGATGATGAGTATAATGATGATGAGGTGGAGGAGAAGGATGTTGATGACGATGCTGATGATGACGACGATCATGCTGTTGATGCTGTTGATGATGATGATGATGATGATGATGATGATGATGATGATGATGATGATGATGATGATGATGGCGGTGGTGGCGGTAGCGGTTGTCATGATGACGATGCTGGCAAGGATGAGGAGGAAGAGGAAAGGAGGAAGGAGGGGGAGGAGGGGAGGAGGAGAGACGCGCGGCGCTGCGGATTTAAAACAAGGACACAACACACTGGAGGGTTGGGAAAAGGAGGAAGGATAAGGAGGAGAAGAAGGAGGAAGGAGGGAGGGAAGGAGACGCGCGGCGTTGTGAATTCAAAACGAGGACCCAACACACAGGAGGGTCGAGAAAAACAAACGAAACTGCAACACAACTGAAACGAAACCAAAACGAAACCAGAACAACACTGGAACGAAACTGAACGACACGGGAACAAAACTGGAACGAAATCAAACGTCCAATCGTTACAAGACGAACATGTAGAACATGTATAACGAAAACGCATGAAAGGAAACGCAGTCTTAGACATCTCGAGGAGCCCGAGACCTTACACCTGATCCACGTGTTCCCCAAAGGGTTCCAGAGTGCATGGGGGAGCACATAATCAGTCATACTGCGGCCGGACATTGGCCTCACGTTTGGGCACATAAGCGTTTCCGGAAGGCAGGGTGCGGCGGTGGTTCGCCGTATGCGTCTTTGATATTGCTTTTCCAGGTGATCAGAAAAATTGTCGAACTCGGCATAGCTCAGGCCTGCTGTGCCATCCGTGTCGAACTCCTCCAGCGCGAACTGCCGGATGTCGTCCTTCAGTATGCCGTGGAAGAGCGGAGGCCATTCCCGCAGGATGTGCCCCTCGTTCGCCCTGCAGAATTCGCTGAGCTCTGCCGCCGAGATGGTGAGCGTTTTCATATTCGGCGTTTCGACACTGGGCGGAAAGGAGAGGGGGAGGGGGGGGGGCTGGCTCTGGACCTCCGCTTAGTGGGACTGTCTGCAACAGTGCGTCCTATGGGGGAAGCTCCACCTGTTCAAAAATAGGCGCCAGAAACAGCCAAGATCTACTCCAAGGGGGGAGGGGGGGATCGCGAGGGCCCGCGCCGATCGGCAAAACAGCGAACAGGAAACCGATCGCATGCGGCCGCTGGCGCTCCCGTCGACCAGGTCGACGCAACGGAACATGAGTTCCCGCATCCTGTGCGAAGCGGAGATTTATCCACATCCACCGCCTGGGAGCCGACGTCCTGGTGCCCCAGCGGGCGGTGGAAATGGACATCTTTCGGCCCCCGGGGGCCCGAATGTGCCCACATCCACCGCATCACGTTATGTCGGGCGTGTCCCCCTTCAGGGAGATTTTCGACGAAAAATAAAAAGTATCCCAAAAATACACCAAAAAGGTCAAAAAAACATGTTCAGCAAATAGTCCCCAGATTATGTTTGGATTATTTGTCTGACGATTTTTGGGGTACTTCTTATTTTCGTCGAAAATCCCCCTGTAGGGAGACAGGCGCGACTTCAGCCTAACGAGGCTCCGAAAACTGACCCTCCAGGCGGTAGTCATGTATACATTCCGCCTCGCATCCTGGCCCGCTGCCGCTCGTCCGCCTCCCACTTCTCGTGGGCCCAGCCCTCCCTGTGCTGGGGCGGCGGGCTCTGCGACGACGCCCCCCCCCCCCCCCCCCCCCCCCTGGCCGGGCCCATCCTGGGCTCGGGTCGCGCGCAAGTCCTGCCACAGGCGGATCCTGGAAGAACAACGAATGCAAAAATCAAAATCCAACACTCGGCCCAGACTATTTATGGATGATCATTTACGATACTGCCTCTTGTAGAGGGGCATGCCCGACTGAATCCTGGGCCCCGGGACGGTGTAGCATGCCTCCCTGGCCATGCGAGGGGGGCGTGGAGTCCGCTCCTGGCCCCCAGGCCCCCGACGGCACGACCTGCTCAGTACGTGCGTCGGCCCCCGGAGGCCTCGCCTCGACCTATACCCGGGGACAGGCTTCTTGTTCTCCCAAGACATGGTCGCGTCTATTATATATAAAAAACAAAAAATCAGGGCGGGAAGTTCTTGGTGTTCTTCGGCCCCGGGGGGGCCCTCGCCGGGCCCCGGGACCGTCAAAAAGCGACTCGAAGGACGAGAAGCCGGCCCCGGGGAACGGGTCGGGACTGCCCTGCAAAAACATCAGGACGTCGCACGTCCAGGCCCCTGAGCCGCTTTGCTCGACGGTCCCGGGGCCGGGCAAGACGGGGGGCCCAAAGATATACACCACCACCAGCTCCCTAACCCCCTCCCTCTCCCAGGAGAGAGAGAGAGAGAGAGAAAAAAAAAAAAAGGAGGGCAGAGGAGAGAGGAGAGGAATCGACGCGGTGGTGGTGTGTAAGTATTCTTTGGGTCCCCACAAGAGGCCGAAGACCTCGTGGCACGCCCTCCGCCGCGCCTGGCTCTCGCGGCGCTCGAGGGGGGCCCGGCCTCTGCTCCTGTGCTCCTGGCCCCAGGGTGGGCCTGTCCCTCGACAGGCGGATTCTGGGCGAAAAATAGAAAATAGTCCAAACATACACCCAAATGATAGAAAAAACGAAATATGGTTTAGAAGAAGAAAGCAAAAAAACGTCCCCAGGGTAGGTTTGAATATTTTTGAAGTTTCCTCCTGTAGAGGGACACGCCCGACGTAATCCTGGCCCCAGGATGGGCCTGTCACAGATCTCGCCGCCCCACCTGTGCGCCGTGCTCACCAGCACCATGGCGCACTGCTCCTGGAACGGCCTCTGATGGTCTTGTTACCCACAACCACCACCATCACTTGGAGGGGGATGGGGCTCCTCCTCCTCCTCCTCCTCCTCCTCCTCCTCCTCCTCCTCCTCCTCCTCCTCCTCCTCCTCTCCTCCTCCTCCTCCTCCTCCTCCTCCTCCTCCTCCTCCTCCTCCCCTCCCTCATCCCTCCCCCCTCCAACTCATGGTGGTGGTGGCGGTGGAAAACAAGCCCATCAGCCTCCCCTGGCCCCGCAGGCTCGGCGCGCAGACGTGGCAGGGCGGGTACTTCAGCCCCGTCCTGAGGCCAGAGGCGCGTCGACCGCGCACCAGGTCCGCCCGATGCACACGCCGCCGCGCGTACCCAGACGTGATCGCGTCGTAAAAGCTCACGGCGGGAGGCCTTCGACCCTCTTCGGCCTCCGGGGGGCCCTCGCTGGGCCCCCCGGGACCGCCAAACGACGGCGCAGGATGAAATACCAGCCCTGGGGAAAGAATCGGGACTTCCGCGGACCGCGCCTTGAAAACATCAGGAGGACGTTTTGTGTCCCCAGTCATGCGACGTCCTGATGTTGTTCAGGACGGCGTCCCGGGAAGTCCCGACCCTTTCCCCGGGACCGGCTTTTCGTCCTGAGTCGTTTTTGACAGTTCCGCGGCCTGGCGAGGGCCCCCTGGGGCCGAACAAAAACCTTCCGTCCTGACTTGTTTTACGACGCGACCATGTCTGGGCCTGTGTGCCCAGGGCCATTCACTGCGACCGCACAGGCGAACGCTGGCCAGACCGACGGAGAAACCGGGGCCGACCGAAGCGAGCGGCAGGGCGCAAGCAGCCCAGGGGGGCGCAGCGCAGCGCGGCGACCGACCGAACCAAGAGGACCCAGTTCGGCCGGCTGCCAGGCTGCGCCACAATGACATACACACGTTTTGCGTCGGCGGCCAGGCAGGGGACGTCCCCAAACATGACCGCGTCGTGAAACAAAAGTCAGGACGGGAGGGCCTTGGCTTTTTTCGGCCTCGAGATCCCTCGCCGGGCCTCGGGACCCTCAAAAAACAACTCGGGACGAGAAGCCGGTCCCGGGGAAAGGGTCGGGACTTCCAGGGACGCCGTCCTGGAAAAATCAGGACGTCGCACGCCTGGGACAGAGGCGTGCACCGAGCTGGCCTGGCACCGCTTGGCTGCACGCAGGAGTGGCCCTGCGCAGGGGTGCCCTTCGGTGCGCGGCTTCGGGGGGGGCGCGAGGGCCACACCCACGCGCACCAGCCGCCGCTGTCGCATCGACTTCAGCGATCGGGGGAGCCCAGTTGACTACCTACCACACCACCCCAACCCAACCCGACGACCGGAATTTCGGGTTGGGGGGGGTATGGGCTCCACACGTGTGTTTTCGATGTTCTCGGACCCCCCCCACCACTGGAAATGGAGGGCAAATTGAGGCCTTCGGGTTGGGTTGGGGTGGTTTGGTGGGTGGTGAAGCGAGCCCGCACCGAAGGTCCCCCCAGCGAAGGGTCGCTCGTACGGCTGGCGTTGGATAGACAGCGCGCAGCACCCATCTGCGCAGACCACGCACGCCATCCCTGTGAGGCGACCCGCCCTCGAGGGCCCCCTCTGCCGCGAAGCCACCCCGCTGCCAGGGTTAAGTCGGGCCTGTCCCCCTATATAAAAATTAAATACCCCAAAAATAATCAAAAAATAATCCAAGAATGCTCTGGGGACTATTTGTTTTTGTATTTTCTGGCCTTTTTGGTGCATTTTTGATGTATTATAAATTTTTCGTCGAAAATCCCCCAGTAGAAGGACACGCCCGACATAATGCCAGCGCTTCTTCTTTTGACGCCCGAAATGGGTACGGGAAAATGAATACAGTGCCCAACAACAAACGTTGTCCAAAACCAACAGCGGCCGCTGTTAGCCAGGCGGCCTTCTGTCTCAAATGAACACAGGCCGCGGCGGCGCGGACAGCGAGTCCTGTCCAAATGAACAGGAACTGCTGTTGGCCATGGTACCCCTTCTTTCCGTACCCATGTCGGTCGTCCCGATCTTCGGTGCACGCTGTCCCAAAGCTGGGGGATGGCGTGTAATAAGCGAACCGGCGGAGCCACGTCGCACGCTATCCAGACATGCCCTGTTCGGATGTTTGCAATACGGAGTCCCTGGAGGCCCCGACCGATTCCCCGGGGCCGGTTTTCCATCCTGAGTCGTTCCTTCACGGTCCCGGCGAGGGACCCCAGAGGCCGAAAATGGCCAGAAGCGTCCCGTCGCGACTTTTTCCGCGACGCGAGCATGTCTGGGTGTCCAACTCCAGCCGCGCGCGCAGTCGGCCAGTGCCGGCGCCGCAGCAGTAAGACGCCCCCGGCCGTCCCGAGGCGGTGGAGGCAGCCCGGGGGCGTGCCCTCGGCTCGCGGCGCGGGGGCCCTGGCGATGCGCGCCGCGGCTGCCTCCTCTTCCTCGCGGGCCGGGCGGAGGCCAGAAGCTGCTAGCCTCAGGTCGGGCATGTCCTCCTACAGGCGGATTTTGGAAGAAGAATCAGACAGAGTCAAAGCAATACTCAAAAATAGTCGGAAAATCGCCCCCAGACTATGCTCTGACTGCTTTTGAATTCTCCTCCTGTAGAGGGACATGCCCGACTTAATGCTAGCCAGTCGCGAGCAGATCCCTTTCCCTGAGCTTGACAAACCCACAGGGCGATGACAATGTTGGGGATGATACGCCCTCAGACGCTGAGGAACCCCCTAAGATCGGCGTCGAGATGAGACGACGCCAGGTAAGCGTTTTCTTATTCGGCGTTTCGACATTTGGCGGAAGCGGGGGAAGGGGGGGGGTCTGGCTCCAGACCTCTGCTTAATGCGACTGTTTGCAACCGTGCGTCCTATTGGGGAGACTCCACCTGCTTGAAACAGGCGCCAAAAGCAGCCAAGATCCACTCCTTGGGGGGGAGGGGGATGCGAGGGCCCGCGCCGATCGGCAAAACAACGCATAAGAAAACGACAAGCTCAAAAAACGATGACAATTTTAGGGAGAATGCGCCCTCAGAAGTGGAGGAACCCCCTCACATCGGCATCGAGACAAGGCGATGCCAATCATGAAAATAGGGATGTGCTTCAGGCTGGTAAGAGCTGCACCCGTGCCGTCGTGCGAATCGCTCCCAGAGCTCCGTCCGACGGCCATGTGCTTTCGATCCCGGCGCAAAGTCCTTACACTGTGAAGCCAGAAGCACACCTGGCTGGATTCACGTGCCCAGACATGCGACGTCTTGATTCTTTCAGGACGGCGTCCCTGGAAGTCCCGACCCTTTCCCCGGGTCTGGTTCTTCGTCCTGAGTCGTCGGTTGACGGTCCCGAGGCCCCCCCGGGGCCGAAAATGGCCACAGACCTCCCGCCCCGATTTCTCTCTACGACGCGATCGTGTCTGGGCGTGGAGCACCTGGAGGCCACGCGCTGGGCACACGTGCGGAGGGCCAGCGCGCCTCGCCCTACAGGTACCGAGCGGTGGAAAGCCGACATCCGGCCACACGTGCAGCCAGCTCTCGCCCGGGCCGGCCGCGTCACGCGCAGGAGGAGAAGAAGGACACCTTTGGACACCTTTGGTTTGGGACACAGTCCCCTCCTCTTCGCTCTTACGGGTGCGGAGGCCTTCCAGACCTTTTTACGGGTCCAAGCAGGGGGGCGACAGCCCCTGCAGGGCACCCCGACGGGCCTCCGCACCGTTCAAAAAGTGCTTGCACTGCGCCCCCACGGCGCCAACCCGGAGCAGCCCCAGGGGAAGCGCGGTTGTCTTCGCACCCCCACGCAGCCCAGAGGGCCAGGGGTCCACAAGTGCCAAGCACAGTGTGCGCCACGAGCCCCGCTTACGTTTTGCGCCAGTAGTCCTGGATCTCCTCCAGCGCGGACTCCAGCTGCTGCAACGTCTTCGCGGTCTCGGTGGCGTGTGAGAGGCTTACGGTGCTCTCCTCCCCCACGCAGTTGCCGATCTTGCCGTGCTCCTGGTAGTCCTCGGGTTTTCTCGTCTTCCTCTTGTGCTCCGCTTCGCCGTCCTCGGTGTTGGACCCCTCCTTGCCGTCTGCCTCGGTGTGGACGTCGAACCCCCGGGCCTTCAGGGTGGCCTCGTGCTGCTCTTCTGCGTCCGCCGCCTCCTCGAGCGCCGCGTCGTGCTTCTCCTGGGCCTCCTTGAGGCGGTGCTCCGCCTGCTGCAGCTCCACAGCCGCCTGGTCCAGCTCGAGCTTCTTCTGGTCCTTTTTCCAGGTCGCTTGGCGCAAGGCTGCCTCCAGGGAGGACTTCTCCTTGTCGGTGTCCGTGGCTTGTCCCTTCTCAGACGTGTCCTCATACTCCGTCGAGCCGTCCGCGTACTCCTCGAACTCCGACTCGTCCCTCTCCTCCGTCTTGGCCACCTCGGCCACCGGTGCGCGGCGCAGCGCCGCCAAGACCTGGGACGCGATGCGGCCTGGCGGGTGCGCGACCGCCCGCCGCTCGTCCCGCCACAGCACGAACTTCTTCGCCACGTCCGCCGCTCCCTTGCGGACGAGCGCCGACCGCACGTCCTCGGAGGTGATCTTCTTGTCCAACTTGAGGATGGCACCCGCTTCGCTGAGCACCTTCTGGAAGTGTGTCAGGTGCTCGCTCCCGTTGATGGCCTCCTGGGTCGGAGGAGGAGGAGGGAGGGAAGAGGAGGGAGGAGGAGGGAGGGAAGAGGAGGGAAGAGGAGGGAGGGAGGAGGGAGGAGGGGGGAGGGAGGAGGGAGGAGGAGGAGGGAGGGAGGGAGGGAGCGAGGAGGAACAAGAGGGAGGGAGAAGGAGGAGGAGGAGGAGGCTCTCTCTCCCAAGATCCGACAGAACAGGGCGCACCTCCTGGGGGGGCCCTGCTCCTGTGACGCTCCGCCGGTGCTGCCGCTGGCCGGCTCCGCTGGCCATCTCCCGCTCGCCGCCCTCGCCCGCCCGCCCCCCCCCCCAGGCTCGCAGGGGGGGCGCGGACGACGGGGAGCGTCGGGCAGAGGGCCAGGGATCGGCGGCGAGCGAGGGGGGGAGGCGAGAGGAAGAGGGCCTTCCCAGCAGGCGGCGGGACCTCTCGGAAGCCTTCGCGCCTTCCGGGAAGTTTTCCTGCGCCTTCGGAGGAGGCTTCCCCCCCTCGCTCGCCGCCGAAGGGAGGAGATCGAGGGAGATGCCAGCTTCGGCGGGGACTAGGAGGGGCGCCCGAGCGTGGAAGGCGAGAGATGAGGCGGCGTGGTGCTCTGCTCGAGGTAAGCCGCACGCGGCTCGCACAACTCTGACCTCGAGGGGGGACGAAAGGGCAAGATATCAGAGGGCTGGGTACAGATTCAGCTCACGCAGCTGGTTTTCCTGGGGCCTCTCGGCGCCGGGAGGCGCACACGTATCGAGGAGTGGGCCCGGCGGGGCGGAAACCAGCTGCGTGCGGCAGATTTCGGAACCGCCCCTTTCCCCATCCTGCCCTTTCCGTCCGGCCCGAAACCAGCCACTGCTCAAGAGATGGAACGACCACTCTGGACCGAGCACTGCTGCCAAGATCCGACGGCGTGTTGCTCCCATGCGCGGCCCCAGAGGTCCCGACCCCTTTTCGGCGGTGGACAAACCTCCCTGTAGCACACCTTCCCTTAGTGAAAACGGCCCAGGGCCGAAACCGACGGACCCGGAGCCGCAAAAACGACGTCCGCGACGCCCTCTCGCGAGCCGAAAACAGCCAATTCCTGAATCGACGCGTCAGGGTAGGAGCTCTATCCACCTCCGACCTCTTCCCCCAGGGCCAGGTCTTCACCAGGGCCCCCGAGCCGCTCGCCACGGCCCTGGGCTTCCACCCCCGCACCGTTCTGCTGGAGCGTCGGCGGGCCTGCCCGTCTCGAATACAGGACGCCCGTCCGCCGCCGGCGCCCGCCAGCCTCTGTGCTGCGCGGCGACGGCGAGGGAGCCGGGGAACGAGAAGCAAGCAAATTTGGACGCCCGAAATGGGTACGGGAACAATGGGTACAATGCCCAACAACAAATGTTGTCCCAAACCAGCAGCGGCCGCTGTTGGGCAGGCGGCCTTCTGTCTCAAATGGACACAGGCCGCGGCGGCGCGGACGGCGAGTCCTGTTCGAAGTGAAGAGGAACTGCTGTTGGGCATTGTACCCATTCTTTCGGTACCCATTCCGTGCGTGCAGAGAGCAGACGACGGCGAACGCGCAGGCGGGAGGCCCGGGCCGCCGGGACGAACGAGACGAAGCCAGGCCGACGAAGATCAGAGATCGGGGCAGGAGAAGTCGAGCAGCTCTGAGAGCCGGCTGCCCTGGAGGACTTCTCAGGCGGCGCGGCCTCCTCGGAGCGCTGCGGAGCGCTCTGAGGGCGTTCTGGAACGCTCTGGAGCGGATATGGTCCTCGGCCTGACCTAAGGAACGATAAATAAGGAACGAAGCCCCTTTTTATCCCAAGGAATAACGCATAAGGAACGATAAATAACAAAAAACGCATGAGGAACTGTAAATAACGCATGCAAACCTAAGGAACGACCGAGCCCCTTTTGAAAAGCAAGTGTTCCTTATTCAAGCCGCTCACTCTACGATCCTCGTCCTGGCCCCGTCCGAAGGAGGCAGGCGGCAGGCGGGCCCGGATCACGCCAGAGACCAAGGTTCGCGAACAACGCCAGGATCCAAACAACAACAACAACAACAACAACAACAACAACAACAACAACAACAACAACAACAACAACAACAACAACAACAACAACAACAGCAACAGCAACAGCAACAGCAACAGCAACAGCAACAACAACAACAGCAACAGCAGCAGCAGCAACACCACCACCACCACCACCACCAACAACAACAACAGCAACAACAACAACAACAGCAACAGCAACAGCAACAGCAACAGCAACAGCAACAGCAACAACAACCACAACCACAACCACAACAACAACCACAACAACAACAACCACAACAACAACAGCAACAGCAGCAGCAACAACAACAGCAACAACAACAATAACTACAACAACAGCAACAGCAGCAGCAACAACAACAACAGCAACAACAGCAACAGCAACTACAGAAACAGCAACAACAGCAACAGCACCACCAACAACAACAGCAGCAGCAGCAACAACAACAACAACAACAACAGCAGCAACAACAACAACAAAGAAACGTCGGAGATCTGGGCCTACCTCCTCCGCCCTCCGCTGGCCGCAGGGTGGCTTCCGCCGAGGGCCGCGGTGTGAGCCGCCCCTCCCCCCTTTGCGCGCCCCGGGCGGGCCCCCAAGTTCCGAGGCCCGGAGCTTCGCACCAGCACCAGCACAGCGGGCCGCCTCCACCAGGGGAAGATGCTCCTATAGAGTTCGGTGCTCGCGCTAATCTTATGTCGGGCGTGTCCCCCTACAGAGGGATTTTCGACGAAAAATGAAAAAAAATCCAAACATACCCCAAAAAGATCAAAAAAAATCCCCCCCAAAAAAATTGTCCCCAGACTATTGTTTGACTATTGTTTGATTATTTTGGGGGTCTCTTTTATTTTTCGTCGAAAATCCCCCTGTAGGGGGACAGGCCCGACTTAACGCTACCCTCGGCCACTCACGAAGCCCGAGCAGGACCACCATCGCCGAGGTGGGGGCAATGGGCCATCTTCCCCCGGTGCTGGCGCCGACCTCCAGGCCACCGACAGTTCTCAAGGTCCAGTGCTCCTCGCGGGCCGGCAGGGCGCGCGGGACCTGCGGGGGGCGCTGGCGGGAGCAGCCGCAGAAGGCGTCGAGCATGGCGCGGCCCCGGGGGCGCGGGGGCAGGGCCGCGCGGGCAGAGGAAGAAAAACCTGCATGAACATAAACTTTTGGCGCGCTCCGCGCGGATTTCTTGAATCCGCGCTGGACCCCCCTCCCCGGCGCGCTTCGCGCGCCAGGGGCAGCGCCGGAGGCGCCCCTGGGGGGGGTGGGGGGCCCAGCGCGGATCCAAGAAGTCCGCGCGGAGCGCTAGAAGTTTCTTCTTATGGGGCTTTTTCTCCTTCGAGCGGGGGGGGGGGAGGGGCGAGGAGGGCGCGCGCAGTGGGCCAAAGACGGCTGCGGGCCGAGAGAGGAGGAGGGGTGTGCCGCGCTTGGGGGAGCAGACTGGCCATCGCTCGGACGTCCATTCCCTGTGTTTTTTTCGGTTTCGTGCGTGGCTTTTGCGGCGAATGATCAAGGACGCTCCTCGAATGCTCCTCGATGGTCCTCGCCGAGGAAAAAGCGCACACGTCCGAGCGATGCCAGGCAGAGGCAGCGTCCACGGCACGCCGCCGCGGGAGGCCCGTCGGCGCGCTGCTGCGGGAGAGCCACCGGGCGTTCGGACGGCGGCGTGCTCCTGCCGCGGAGCCAACAGGGGCCAATGGAGGGCCAAGCAGGGCGAGGAGGCGCCGAGGAGCAGCAAGAAGACCCCAGAAGGGCCCAAGAGGGCGCCTCTGGGGGCCTGTCGAGGCCCAGGCAGGGCCAAGGACGTCCACCATCCAACCCCCCCGCGCGCTCGGGAGCGCGTGCGCTCGAGGAAGAGGGCAGGGTAGAGTAGGGTAGGGTAGGGTAGGGTAGGGTAGGGTAGGGTAGGGTAGGGTAGGGTAGGGTAGGGTAGGGTAGGGAGGAGGAGGAGGAGGAGAGGAGGAGGAGGAGGAGGGGGAGGGAGGAGGAGGAAGGAGGAGGAGGAGGAGGAGGAGGAGGAGGAGGAGGAGGAGGAGGAGGAGGAGGAGAGGAGGAGGAGGAGGAGGAGGGAGGAGAACGAAGAGGAGGGGAGGGGAGGAGGGAGGAGGAGGAGGGAGGGAGGGAGGGAGGGAGGAGGAGGAGGAGGAGGAGGAGGAGGAGGAGGAAGGAGGAAGGGAGGAGGGAGGAGGAGAGGAGGCGAGAGGAGGGAGGGGGGTGGAGAGAGGGGAAGGACGAGGGAGGACAAGGAGGAGGACGCGGAGGCGGCAGGAGGAGGAGGTGGTGAAGCGCGGCTCGGAGTCGCAACCAGTTATCCTCTGGGGCGCCTCAGAGCTCACCGCTGGTCACACAAGAATACATGTGGCCCCAGCAGCAGGAGGACAAGGAAGACAAACAAATCCGAGGATCTAGTATCGACAATCCTCGACGCCCTTCCACCTCCTCCTCCTCCTCCTGACGCTGACGCTGATGGCGGGTTCGTCTCGTGACCGACGAAATCTTCTCCTCCTCCTCCTCCTCATCCTCCTCCTTTCCACGTCCTCGTCCTCGTCCTCGTCCTCGTCCTTCTCTCCGCCTCCTCGTCCTCCTCACCCTCCTACCTCTCCTCTCAGCTCCTCCCTGATCACCTCCTCCTCCTCCACCTCCTGCACCTCCCCTCCTCCTCCTCGTACTCCTCCTCCTCCTCCTCCTCCTCCTCCTCCTCCTCCTCCTCCTCCTCCTCCTCCTTTTCTTGAGTTGACCAGACCTTACGCTTACGCGCGTTGCGTTACTTGCGTGCTGCAAAAAATGGAAGCGCAGATGGGTCGGCGCAAAGGTACCTGGCGGGCGCCGCAGCTCAGGCGGTACAATGAAACCATTACAAAACATAGGCAAGAATAGTAGGCGCCCGTCAGGTGACGCAGCTGGTACCTTCTTGCAGAAGGCCCAAACAAGTCGACCTGGTTACATAATGCATGCCGACTTTCGATAGGTTCATGCTGCGAACAATGCAAAAATGTAAACAAGAAAGAGAGCGTCCTCCACAGCCACATCTAGAGACGGCGTAGGGGTTAGCCAATGTGGTGATCCAAGAATGCAAGGTGAGTGCTGCAGTAGGGTTTGCTCCTAACCTTCAAAGAAGAGCGTGCAACATTTGGGCTGCAAAAGGCTTTTGTTGGTTTACCCCTAGCCTTCAAAAACAAAAACTTGCAACAGGGCTGCGACCCAAGGCTTTGTAGGACAACCCCCCATCTACGTAGAGATCCTCCTCCGCGACCCCCGCGTCCACATCAGTAAACCACCGCCTGCAAGAGTAGCCAGGTGATGCTATACCTCTGTGCGCTGCAAGAGGGTTTTTGAGGCTTACCCGTAACCTCTGAAAACATGGCGTGCGGAATTTGGGCTGCGACACATGGTTTTGTCGGGTGACCCCGCACCTAAGCAGAGAGTTCTCCTCCGCTGCCACCGCAGGAACATCAGTGAACCGCCGCCTCCAAGAGTAGCTAGGGTGAGGTAAAGCGTGAGGTGCACAATTGCATAAAAAAAGCGATCCTGGGGCCGCTACCCAGGATTTTTTTGTAGGGTAGCCCCAAACCTGTATATGGTATCCTCCTCCTCCTCCTCCTCCTCCTCCTCCTCCTCCTCCTCCTCCTCCTCCTCCTCCTACTCCTCCTCCTCGTCGTCGTCGTCGTCGTCGTCGTCAGCGTCCTTCCCACGAGCGCGCGCGCGCGCGGAGGGAGCGGCGCTCCGGGATGACTCCGCCGCAGTCGTGAGGCAACCACCGCTCGCTCGCCTCCTCGGGAGCCGAGCAGTTCACCCCGCCAGCAGAGGCGGGGCCGACGCGCGGTCCTCTCCTCCTCCACCTGCTGCTCCACCACCTGCTTCTTCATCATTATCAGCATCATCATCATCAGCATCATCACCATCCTCATAATCGTCAGCATCATCAGCATCATCATCATCATCATCAGCAGCAGCAGCATCAGCATCAGCATCCTCATCCTCAGCATCAGCATTACCATCAGCATCAGCATCAGCATCATCATCATCATCATCGTCATCATCATCATCATCATCATCATCATCATCATCATCATCATCATCATCATCATCATCATCATCATCATCATCATGATTAGCATCATCATCAGCATCAGCAGCAGCATCAGCATCAGCATCAGCATCATCAGCATCATCATCAGCAGCGTCATCACCATCAGCATCAGCATCATCATACGTATCATCATCCTCAGAATCGTAAGTATCGTCATCAGTATCATCAGTATCATAATCATTATCATCACCATCATCACCCTTATAATCATCATCCTCATCATCCTCAGCATCAGCATCATCAGCATCAGCATCAGCATCATCATCATCATCAGCAGCAGCATCATCCTCACCACCCTCATCATCATCATCAGCATCAGCAGCAGCATCATCATCAGCACCACCATCATCATTATCAGCATCATCATCAGCATCATCAGTATTGTCATCATCAGCATCATCACCATCACCATCATCATCATCATCATCATCATCATCATCATCATCATCATCATCGTCATCATCATCATCATCATCATCATCATCATCATCATCATCATCATCATCATCATGATCATCATCATGATCAGCATCATCATCATCGTCAGCGTCGTCATCATCATCATCAGCATCATCATCCTCAGCATCACCATGTCCATCAACATTATCAGTATCATCCTCATCATCAGCATCAGCAGCAGCATCAGCATCAGCATCAGCATCATCAGCATCAGCATCAGCAGCATCACCATCAGCATCAGCATCATCATAATCATCGTCATCCTCAGAATCGTAAGTATCGTCATCAGCACCATCATTATCATCATCAACATTACCACCAGCATCATCAGCATCATCATCATTATAATCATCACCATCATCATCCTCAACAGCCGCATCATCAGCATCATCAGCATCAGCAGCATCATCATCAGCATCATCATCAGCAGCAGCAGCATCCTCGAAATCGTCAGCATCATCAGCATCATCATCCTCATCATCAGCAGCATCATCAGCATCATCATCAGCACCATCACCATCATCATGATCAGTATCATCATCAGCAGCATCATCAGAATCATCATTACCATCATCATCATCATCATCAGCAGCATCAGCATCAGCATCATCATCGTCATCATCATCAGCATCATCATCAGCATCATCATTATCATCAGAATCCTGAGCATCATCATAACCATCATCATCATCATCAGCATCAGGTTCATCAGCAGCAGCATTATCAGTTTCGTGGAATGCATCATCAGTATCATCAAAAGCATCAGTATCGTCATCACAATCGTCATCACCAGCTTCATCATCATAAGCATCATCATCCTCATCAGCATCATCATCACTATCATCAGCATCATCACCACCATCATCATCACCATCAACATAATCATCAGTATCATCATCATCATCATGGTCGTGGCTGTCCTCGTCGTCGTTAACATCATTGTCATGATCATCAGCAAAGTCATCATCAACATCATCACCAGCAGCAACATCGTGACCATCATGCTCATTATCGGCATCGTCGTATGCATGTTGACTGCCATCGTCATCCTCATCAGCATCATCAGCAGCATCATCATCGTCAATATCATACTCGTCCAACCCCATCTTCGTCGTTATCGACATCATCGTCGGCACCACCATGATCAGCATCATAATTATCATCATCATGATCATCATCATCATCAGCATCATCGTCATCATCATCATCATCATCATCATCATCATCATCATCTGCAGTAACATCGTCATCGCCATCAGTAGCAACAATAGTAACCGCCTTATCGTCATCATGATATTCATCGTCATCCTCGCAATCACCATCATCAGCATTATCATCGTCATCATCGTCATCATCGGCGTCGTCATCATCATGCTCACCGCCACATCACTTGTCATAATCACAAGTACCTTTTTGACTATCATAATCATGAGTCGTCCGTGACCCCTGCCATTCTCATCAGCAGCACCAACATCAGCAACAACACCATCGCCATCACCACCAGTCCACTCAGAATCGCCATCAGCACCATACCATGACATGTTCA